GAACCTAGGTTCAGTTCCCTAGCCCACATGGCAGCTCCAATCATCTATAACTCTAGTTCCAGGGGATCTTGCATTTTCTTCTGACCTCCACACAGGCATTGCACACACAGCTGCAATTACATACATGCAGGCAAAATACTCATACACATAAAATAAAAATAAACCAAAAAAAATTTAAAAGAAAAAGTTGCTCATTCCACCCCCATACCATGATGGACGGTGCCATTTAAATAAGGGCAGAGGACGCCCTTTGTTCAGCAGGACAGTACTGAAAGAAATAACACAATGGTTGGGCTCTGTTGGTTACATGACTCCTGGAGTTAGTCCTTGATAATCTGGCATGTCCACAGTAACTAGTGCAGATATTAATATCTTCCATGAAAAAGATAAGCAGAAATAAACAGAAAAATAATGACAGAGTTAAAAGAAGAGTGTCCAGCAGATGCAGAAATCCCCATAAGGCATACTGAATGTTCTTAATTACAGAAATAACAACTGACATCTACAGTCACAACACTGAAAAAAAGTGCTTACACGATAGGTAAGAATACTAAACCACTTTAACTGGAGAGATGGCTCCATGGATGGGAGCACTGGCTGCTCCTGCAGAGGACTCAGGTTTGGTTCCCAACACCCACATCGTGGCTAACATCTGTAACTCCAGTTCCAGAGTATCTGGCACCCTCTTTCTGGCCTCCACAGACATTGCATGCATGTGGTTCAGTTACAGGTGCAGGCAAAACACTCGTACACATAAAATTTTGGTAAAAGAAGAAAGAATACCAACTAACTTACTTTGCTGATTTTCCTAACATACAACAATCTCACTGAACAGCCAAAAGAAAATGAGTATAAAGAACCACCAACTTCACATCAGCAGCAGGCTCTAGTTGGACCATGAATTCCAGGCACAAACCAATCTCAAGTGAGCATCAAGTGGTAACAAAGGATGTCGTGCCCACACCTCAAGCACAGGCCACTTGAGGCTCATGACTCTAGAGAATAGCAAACCTGAACCCACGTGCTACACACTACATAGTTTTAGTTATTTGCTTGTTTACTTTTTTCTTAGGGGGTGGGGTGAGTGGGCACAAGGAAAACTTGTGGGAGTCAGTGCTCTCTTTCCAGTATTGGGGCTTGGTGGCAAGAGTCTCTAACCATTGAGCCATCTTACCAGCCTGCCTTGCACTATTTTTTCCCTTTTGGGGGGATTTTTTTAAATTTTATTTATTATTTAATTTTATGTATATTTGTGTTTTGTCTGCATGTATATAAGTGCACCCATGTTATGCAACGGCCACAGAGGTCAGAAGAGGGTGCAGATCCCCTGGACCTGGAATTATAGATAACTGTTAGTCACCATGTGGGTTCTGGGAACTGAACCTGGGTCCTCTGCAAGAGCAACCATGCTCTTAATCTCTGAACCATCTCTCCAGCCCCTAGGACTTATTTTTATTTATCTGTTAAGTGTGTGTCTCTGTGTGAATGCATACCACAGGTATGCAGGTACCCATGGAGTACAGGAGAGTGTCAGATCCCATGGAGCTAGAATTACAGGTAGTTGTGATCCACCCAGTGGGGATGATGGGAACCAAATTCGGGTTCTCTGAGGAGCAGTCAGTGCTCTTAACCTTGGAGCAATCTCTCCAGCCCGTGCTTTTCTCTATATAAGAAGACTATAGAATCTATCACTGGTTAGTTAATTAACTTTGATTTTTAAACCCTGAATTCTAAAATAGAAAGCTAGTGTTTTGGATTTCTCACTGAGGTTAAATTCTATAATCCTTGAGTATTTGAAATATATATTGAGGACAGGAGTGAGTACTTCACTGAACTGTACAGGATTCTACTGAAGACTGATGCCAGACCCCATCTCTAAAAGAGGTGAAACCACCACAGCTGTTCCAAAACTCTGCATCAATTTGCTCAAAACTGACTCAAAAATACCTTTTCAGAATCTTTCACTCACTATAACACAGATCTTAGAAGATAGGCCCTTGATGTGGGTCCCTTCCTACACCACCACCCCCACATAAACACAAGTGCCAGAGATGAAACCTGGAGACTGGTGCATATTAGGCAAGCACTTTACCACTGAGCTACATCCCCAGTCCTCATCAGTGTTCTGGATGATCATGTATTATAAACAATAATTGTATCTGGGAGTTAAAATTACATGTTTTTATCTGAGGCTTTAAATATTATATTTTATTATAGGAGGGTCTCACTCTGCAGCTCTAGCTGGCTGGAAGTCACTATGCAGATCAGGCTGGCCTCAAATTTACAGAGATCCACTTGCCTCTGCCTCCTGGGTGCTGGGATTAAAGGCTTGTACCATTATGCCTGGCATAAAGTTTAAAAAGAATTCTAAAGGAGTTTGAATACTAATGAGCTCAATCTACAATGAAATTCTCACACTCTCAGTAAGTCTCCCCCAACTGAGCTACAAGCACAGTTGATACTCAAATACCATATGAGAAATACTAAGCATAATTGTGCTGATTTTAAAATAGAACCGTAACTGGTGCTGACAGAAAACTCTAGACTATATTTTTGCTGTGCCTTTTTTTTCTTTTTTTTTTTTTTTTGAGACAGGGTTTCCCTGTAGCCCCAGCTGGCCTGGAACTCACTATGTAGACAGGCTGCCCTTAAACTTACAGAGATCTGTCTGCCTCTGCCTCCTGAGTGCTGGGATTAAAGGTGTGCACCACCACGCCCAGCTTCATTTTTGCCCTGATACCCTGATGCTCTACCAGTGGCAGCTGTCTCTCAAGGGAACAGATTAAAATATAAATATATATATATATATAACCATAAATTAACTGTCCCCCCTTCAAAAGAAGAACTTTGCTGAGCTTGGTGGTACACACCTATAATCTTAGCACCTGAGGGAAGAGGCAAGAAGACCACAAAGCACAGCCTAGGCTATATAGAGCCTATCACACTGTCTCACACAAAAAAGTAGAACTCCATTCTCCCCATTCAGGGTAAGCTGTGCCTTACTCACTTTCTCCAGGCCGCCATTACATGAGGACAAAGAAGTGAGGTCTCAAGAAACACTGGGAGAGAGAGCAGAAAGAACATAGATCCAGAAGGCAGGGAAAGGGGTAGAGAAAGGCCATCCTCTGGTCAGGACGCTGTCATTGCAATCATGAACTCACTGAGGTGTGGTTGCCTACAATGAGCCTGCACAAGACTGAACTGCTCAACAGTCAGTCAAGGATGGGGGAGGGAGGATCATAGTGCCCTGATGATCTACTGACTATTGGATTCTGTGAGAAGAGAAAACATTACCTTTAGATGCATACCCACTGGTGAGCCCACCAGACTCCACTGGATAATTCTAAACCCATGGTCGCTCAGATGGCCCTGGTTAAACTCAGTAGGTCATAACCTAAAGCAAAAAGGCATGGACACGGGAAAGGGACTCTGTAGGGAAGAGGGGAGGTGAAAAGTGTGTGAGAAAAATAAGAGAAGGGAGGGAATTTAAAAAATGAAAGCTACTAGTGATCTATGTGTACAGGCAAAAGCACTCAGAAGAGTACTGGTTACCTGCAACTTACGTTGATGTGCGTTTTTTAAAGATGTAGGAGTGGACAACAGGATTCATACATTGTAAAGAAAATAGCAATGTACTGTGTTTATATACACTTGTAACGTTTCACCTTAAAAAAACAAAAAGAAAAGGCCCGTCCTTGTTAGTGTGTTGGTCAGATTCCTCCCTAAGGGAGGCCAACACACTGGCTTGCCCAGCATGGTGGCGCATACCTTTAATCCCAGCACTGTGGGAGGCAGAGACAGGTGGATTTCTGTGAGTTCAAGGCCAGCCTGATCTGCAGAGCAAGTTCCAGGCCAGCTGGGGCTACGAGGAGACCCTGTCTCAAAGAGAACCTTCAGGCCACAGTCAGATATTCAAACAGCACTCCCAGTCAGCATCCTAACTGAACTCATGACACCCTAAGCCAGAACCACTCATCTAAACAATTCCTAGATTCCTGATTTTTATAAATCATCACCCAGTTCAAGTGACTAATTTGGAGATAATCTGTTATACATCCACAGTCTACAAAGAACTAAAACAATCACAATGGCCTTCCAAATTCATTTAAGATTTTCTTTTAAAATTGTTAATGTTCAAGTAATTTTAGTCTTAAACATTGTCATTAGAATTCTGCCTAACAAAGCTGGAGTGAGAACATAAAAACCTCACAATGCATGCACCAACATCTCAGTGTTAGGAGCAAAAACAATGAGTCTTTCTGTAAGAAAAAGTCTATTTTAAAATGAAATGGAGATCTTTTTTAAAGGTTAAAAACTCATTCAGTTTTATGTTTTACAGGGCTTATACTGAGTTCAGTATTGTATAACTGTATTAACTCAACAGCGAACCTAAAAATTTTATAGTCACTTTTGAAAGAGATGTATCTTTGCTCTGGAAACTGTTAATGAGTATGTTAAAGCTGTAAAGAAATACTTCTTCTAAAAAAACAAAAATAAAAATAATTTAAAAAATAAACCTCATGAAGGGGGCTGGAGAAATGGCTCAGCGGTTAAAAATACTAGCTGCTCTTGCAGAGGACCCAGGTTCGAATCCCAACACCCACATGGCAGCTAACAACTGTCTGTAACTCCAGTTCCATGGGATCGGACAGCCTCTTCTGTCCTCTGGGGGCACTGTATGACACAGGTGCACTTACATACATGCAGGCAATACACTCATACACATAAAATAAAAAATAATAAAAAAAATAATATTTTTCAAAAAAAACTGGCAAAGGAAGCCGTCACAGATACTGCAATGGGGTAGCAGAGTGTGCAGTAATCACCTTAGAGCTGAGCTATCCTTGAGCGGGCATCACCTGAGGGTCAGTACAGAGCAGCTAGTAACAACTGAGGGTGGCCCAGGGCTCCTAGCACTGGAAGCCGTTCTGCCTACTGGGCTTCTTACCATGCTCGTGTCTATCCTAGAACAAAATTCAAATGAAACTCAGTCGACTCACTTGCCACTGTTGGCCAGCTCCCTGAACTCCTTCACAGTCATGGCTTTCTTCTGGATGTTGTACTGAGTAAACAGTCCCGACTGTCCTGTGACCATCTGCTGAATTGGTGCCGGGATAAGCAAATTATCAATATCATCATAACATTGTCTCGGCTTCCAATCCTTAGGAGGAATCACCTAGAAATAAAATCATAAGTAAAATAACTTGAAAATATTTCAAGCTAAATATTATTTATGAGAACACAAATTAAAATTTCTCAACATCTCTGTGACAAAAGTATTATTTTTTAAAAATGAAGATTTTAGCACGCCTTTAATCCCAGCACTCGGGAGGCAAAGGCAGGCGGATCTCTGAGAGTTCAAGGCCAGCCTGGTCTACATAGTGAGTTCTAAGACAGCTGGCACTACAGGGAGACCCTGTCTCAAGAAGACCAAAAAAAAAGAAGATTTTTGCAGTAAGGAAATGTGATTCAGAAAACTTCAGAGTACTCACTACACTCAAAATCATACTCATGTCACCTCCTTTTCCGTGGGTACTATTGATAACTTGCCTTAATGATAAAATTTAACAAAATATAGACTAACTGAAGGTAAAAGTGTTAATGATAAGAAGGAGGGGCTGAAATCCCCTGCTGATAGGAGAATCCTCACTGGGCTATGAGCTGCCCTCGCAACAGAAGATGAAACACTAACAGTCTCCCCCAAAGTTCAAATTCACTGAATTTCAACTGCATATCTCTTTGCTATGTGATTGAAAAAAAAAAAAAAAATCAGTAAATATTTGTACAGTCAGTGTTTTCATTTCAGGTCTCTTTTACAATATAGCAAATATCATGGAAGCTAGTAAATGTCTCAAAATGAGCTTTCTGGAAAGATGATCTGTAGCTTTGGTCAACTTCCACTGGATACCTACACCAGCATGGCCACTTGGAATCTACAAAGTGGCATTACTGAACACAGAGCGGGGAAGGGGCGAGTCCAGTCTGCATCCACATGCGAGAGCGATAGTTCAGTGCAACATTGTTTTCAAACAGAACTTTTTTTTCTCCTTTTGATGTTTTGAGACAGGGTCTCAGGCAAGCCAGACTCTCCTTGAACTTGCTACTAGCCAAGAATGACCCTGAACTCCTGATGGTCCGGCTTTCTCTCAAATGCTGAGACTACAGATGTGTGCCTCTATGCCCGGGTTTTCCAGGGTATTTTTTCGGTTTTAGATTTATTTATTATGTACATTAATGTGTGTGAACAAACATGACATATCGCATGTGTGGTTGTCAGAGGATCAGAAGTTCTTTTTCTCTATCCATCATGTGGATTCCAGGATTTGAACTCAGGACCTCAGGCTTGGTGGCAAGCTACCTTTACTCACTGAGACATCTATCTATCTCACCAGCCCTCCCACTGTTGGTTTTTTGTTTTGTTTTGTTTTTCTTTGACACAGTGTCTCCCTGTAGTCCCAGCTGCCTGGAACTCGCTATGTAGACCAGGCTGACCTTGATCTCACAGGGATCTGCCTGCCTCTGCCTCCCGAGTGCTGGGACTAAAGGCCTACATCACCATGCCAGGCTTCTCTCATAGTATTTTAACACTTAATTACTAACAGTAAAAAAAAAAAAAAAAAAAAAAAAAAAAAATCAGAAACATTAAGACCAAAAATATTCCTATTATTTTAAATGAGAAGGGACAAAGTTATGAAGTCAGGCAGATTTACAGCTGGAATTTCCCCTCCTCAGGGCAGTTTAGAAAGGACAAACTTTCTTTGTGTGGGGGAACAGGGCTTCTCTACATAGCCCAAGCTAGCCTCAACCTCTCAAGCCTCATTACCTCAATATACCAAATGCTAGGTATACTTACATGTGCCAACAGCCTCAAAAATTCCTTGAAAACAATTTTACATTGAAAAATATAGTACACAGAAAATGAAAACAACATTCATGTATGTAAGAGAGTTATTAAAAATCAACACAAGAGCACCCACTACCCAAGGATAAGAAGCAGGATGTTGATGGCACCTCAAGGGTCCGCCCAGCACCCCTTTCCAAACACAGCTTCCCTAGTTCAAGAGGCAAGCACAATCAAGGTGCCTTTTACTGGTAATCAGTTACCTAACACACTGTAAGTTCTGTTTTGTTTTTATTTTGTGTGTATATCTGCATGCTTTTGTGGGGAGGGCTATGCATAAGGGTACACATGTGCATGCATGTGTGTGGCAGTAAGAAGCTGATGCCAGCTGTCCTCCTTTACTGCTTTCCACCTATCCTTCACCTTCCAATACTGGGGTTTTATACACACACACACACACACACACACACACACACACACACGTGCTGGGATCTGAACTCAGGTCTTCATACTTGTGTGGCAGATAATTTACTGAGTATCTCCACAGCCCACATAAGTACTAGTTTATAAAATGTACAAAGTGTAATGATATTGCATACGTTCCTTGAACTTTATATGCACAGCTCCTTCCATTTTGTTGTGAAGCCAGCCAGGCATGGTGGCAGATGCCTGCAGCTTCAACACTTGGAAGGCAGCTCTGCTCACCACACCACCAACACCACACTGCCAGATGTCAATACTTGAGAGACAGACACAGGATCAGCAATTCACAGGCACCCCAGCTACACAGACAGATCAACAAGGCCAAGATAACTGTGAAGTATGCTTCATAACAAATATCTCACTGAATTTCAATAACCACTATTTCACTAGTTAAAGACTGTATAACTGTACATTCTACAATACCCATGTACCTTCGTGTAGAATTTGGAGTATAACTGAACACAGCATTCATTCCTAAGGTCCTCTGTATCTTCCCACCAGACAAAATTCTTCCTAGCAAAATGATAGTTTCAGCTGTGATCTATAACACTGCTCCATTTTTTTTTTTTTAATGTGAGATATATAGAGACTATATAGCCCAGGCTGGCCTCATCATCCTGCCTCTGCCTCCCAAATGCTGGAATCACAGGTTTAAGTCACCATGCCCACCTGTTCCAAGATTCTTAATAACTGTGATAATTGTGTGTATGTGTCTATGTGCACCTGTAGAATAACTTGAAATATATCATTAGCAAATGCAATGCTTCTGTCAAGTTTTTGCATAAACATTTACAGTTCAATTATTTGCCAATAAAGCTCCCCAAAATCCTCACATGTGTTTGGTGGGGGGTGGGGGTGTTCGCACATAAGCCAGGCCAGCCTGAAGCTCACAATGCACCTGAGAGGTTGGCCTTGAACTCTTGATTCTCCTGCCTCTAATTCCCAAAATCTGGTTTTATAGGCAGGGACCACCACACTCATTCCCTCTTCTGTATTTTAAATCCCATAATCATTCTGTTATATTTACTTTAACACACATGGTATTTCTGAAAGGTACAAATATCAGTTACAAATGAGTCCTCAGAGGCAGAAGCAGAAGGGGTGCCCAAAGTTTGAAGGCTGCCTGCTCCACATAAATAGTTCTGAAAAACCAACAGTTACATAGTAAGGCCCTGTCCCCAAAAATAAAAAGGTTGGTAAAGGCCAGTGAGCTGGTTCAGCAGGTAAAGGCACTTGCCAGCAAGCCTGACCAATTCAATGTGATTCTCTGAACTCACATGGTAAAAGAAGAGAATCAACTTCCCGGTGTATATAACCCTCCACCATCGCAACACACACACACACACACACACACACACACACACACACACACAAATAAATAAATGTAACAAAAGAAAAAAGTGAGAAAAATAAAACTAGTGTTTCATGTTTTATACTACAAAATTGTTTCTCAGTTTTCTTTTGTGTATCATGAAGTTTAGATTTTTAAAGCTCCATGTTCTGGATACCCATAGTTTACTTTTAAAATCTTCCACACAGTTAATAGTTTTAAAAGATTCAGCTGAGGACAGAGAATACGGCTCAGTTAGCAGAGCACGCAAGACGCCCTTTGTTCCATTCCTAATGCCTGTAATCCCATCATTGGAGGCAGAAGGAAGGGAAGTTCAAGGTTATCCTTGGGGTGTCAAGGCAGTGTGGGCTATGTGAGACTCTATCTCAAGATTAATCCTGAAGTGATACAGCTCTATTTCTAATATCCAAACAGGAGACTCAAAATCTCATAAACTGTAACTGAAAATGCAAAGCTTTAGAAAACAGTTAAGTGGGTTTTAAAATAACAGTTGAAAGACAATTCATACACTAAACTGCTTATTTATGTTAGGCTGATAAGTACCAGACCTTTAAAGCAATTTTAAAACTGGTGTGATAGCTCATGACTTTGTAATCCCATCACGTGGAGGCTAAAGCAAGAAGGTCACTATGAGTTCAAGACCAGCCTAGGGTATACAGTAAATCACACACCAGCCTGAGCTACAAAATAAATAAATCTGAATAGAGGCAGGTATGGTGGTACATGCCTAAAGCCCTAGCACTCAGGAAGCTGAGGCTGACGGGTTCAAAGTCAGCCTAAGCTACCTAGTAAATTCTAAATCATCCTGAGCAAAACCCTGTATCAAAAATACTTTAAAAATAAAAAGAACACAATTTTGTCCACATTTTTTGTTTTGTTTGGGTTTTTTTAATGTATATGATTGTTTTTGCTGCATGCATGTAGGTGTATCTCATGCATGCAATGTCTGCAGAGTCCAGAAGAGTGCATTGGATCCCCCGGAACCTCAGTTACTAAAGAGTTGTTAGCTGCCAGGTGGGTACTAGGAATTAAACCTGGGTCCTCTGCAAGAGCAACTAGTGCTCTTCGCCATGGAGCCAAGTCCAAATATATGGTTTTAAAGAAAAATTTTTTTAAAAGCTGATGTTCAAAGTTTTCAACATTTTCTACTTTTAGCATTACTTCCTTTTGACAAGTAATAATTTGAATTTCAATATAAACATAAATTTGGTCAAAATGTACTTGAAATTAGATACTTTGGAAACTCAAATTGTATAAACCATTAGGAACATAATTTATTAAAGCTGTTTAAAGTCTTTCAATATCATCAGAAATCCCATAGTACAATGCCTAGCACAGTCACAGATCTGCAATTCCAGAACCTGGTAGGCAAAGGCAGTGAGGCCAACCTCAGCTATATATCAAATTCAAGACCAGCCTGGGTTAGTGAGACCTGTCTCAAAAATAAAATAAAAGTCCTGCAGTACGTAAAATATTAGGTACCCTTAAAAGTAAGTTAATC